CACATTAGTGCCTGTGGGGAATTCACCTGCCATGTAAAGTGCTTTGCAAACCTCAAATCGCTATAAAATATTAGTTATTATTATTAGTAGTAGTAGTAGCAGCAGCAATAGCAGCAATGTGACATAGGAGAAAAACTTAGAACTGAAGATTATAGTCTGGGCAGTGCCATGGGAACTTGGACACACCATTTCACTTTTGGGGCTTTAGTTTCTCCATCTTTGAAAGGAGATTTGGTTAGGTGAACTCTAAATTCATAAAATACTGTACTAAGTCTTATGTAGAGAAGGACTTCAAATCACACTCCCAATATTTTTATTTTTATCCAGGTGTTATCAAGTTAAGGGGCAAGCAAACCAGAATACATTAAGCTTTTTCTGGGATCTATGATATCATTCCCTGCTTAGAATTCCCTCCACGGAGGCATGTCAGCACTTCATCTGTAATTTAGAGACAGCACAGTGCAGGTCTTGGGCTTTTCCTCTATCTACTATGCTACTTAACCTTCCCCAGGTGTTGTGGTACTTGGTTTATACTGCATGAAGCATAGAACTATCATTTTGATTTCCATTGTCCTTATTCCCAAGAAACTAAGCATCACATAAGTTAATGCTAGAAGGGACTTTAGAGGTTGTCTAGTCCAACTTCCTTTGAAAAAAAAAAAGACTGAGGAAACGGAGGCCAGGAGAAGTAAAGTGAGTAACAGAGCTGGAATTTGAACCCATTTCCTTTTACTCATAAGCTATTACTCTTTCCACTACATCAAATTATTTGCTGTGTAGTCCTGGTGAGGAAATGCCTTCTACAAAGACATATCAATTGTTCTGCAACTTAAGACTTTGAGAGTCGCTTACTGCTTAGCAATCTGTCATCTGTGAGTTCTCTCAACTTCCTTGTCTCTATCTCAATATTTCTCTTAATCCACCCTTTCTTTTCTCTTGCTTTTCCTATCTCAGAGGGAAAAGTGTCCTTTTTTGTGTGTGTGCCAAGATTAACTTCTTTGCCTACGCACTTGACCACATCCCCTGCCACTTCTTCCATAATCTTGCTGCATAAGTTGTCTCATTTTCTTTTTCTTGAATCTTCCATCTCTATCTCACCACTGATTCCTTTCTTTTTTTTTAAACAAACATGCCAAAGATGGATAGCTAACCATTGGTTAACAGTTAAGATCCAAAAAGACACTGACAGTTTAGAACAGTTGAGCTGAATCTAATTAAACGAAATTTAATAGGAATAAAGGTGAAGGCTCACACACAGGTTAAAAAATTAATTTCACAAGTACAAGATGGTATAAACTCGACTAAACAGCAGTTTATCCGAAAAAGATCCAGGTATTTTGGTGGACTGAAAACTCACTGAGTAAAGGGTGTGATATGTCAATAAAAATGGGCAGGTAGGTGGCACAGTGCAAAGAGTGCCAGGCCTGGAATTTGGAAGGCTCCTCTGCCTGAGTTCTAATCTGGTCTCAGATACTTCCTAGCTGTGGGACACTGAATAAGTCACTTAACACTGTTTGCCTCAGTTTCCACATCTGTTAAATGAGCTGGAGAAGGAAATGGCAAACCACTCCAGTATCTTTGCCAAGAAAATCCTAAATGGGGTAAAAAAGGGTCAAACATAACTAAAAAAACAACTGAAAGTCTAAGATGGCGGCCTCTCCCCCCCCCACCCCAATGTAATCTTAAACTTATTAAGAGGTAAATAGTATACAGGAATAAAAGAGCACAACTCCATTGTACTTCACTCTAGTCAAAAAAACATCTAGTATCATCTTCTGGGGCCTGTCTAGGTCTGGGGGCCAAATTTTAGCAAGGAAGGTGGAAAGTGTACTGAAGAGGGCCACCAGGGTGGTGCTGAAGGAAATGTAGATGATTATGGGAAAATGGGGAAAAGAGAAGCCTGAAGATTTCTTTAAGTATGTGAGGGCCGTTATGTAAAAGAGATTAGGCTTGTTTTGCTTGGCCTTGGGTGGGGGAGGGGAGGGAAAGAAATACAAAGACTACATGGAAGCTAGAAAGAAGAAAATTTAGACTTTATGTAAGGAAAAACTCCCCAAGAATTAGAGTTATCCATCAGTGTAATGGGCTGTCTTGGGTCCCCCTCACTGGAGACCATCAGTCTGGATTGCCACTTGTTGGGTAGGTTATTAAAAGGAATTTTTCTTCTGGTATGGATTGGAGTACATAGCCTCTGGAATCCTTTCCACCTCTAAGATTGTGATTCTATGAAATCTCCATCTTGAAAAAGCATGTTTCCAATGGCTATGCTATGCTTATAAGCTGCCATTCCATCTCTCACCTTTCCTTGTTGTCCAGTTTCTCAGAGTAGTCTGCATTTGCTGTTTCTATTTTCTCAACTCATGCATGCTTATTCCTTTATTTTTGGTCAGTGTTTATGAGTTAATTGGGAACGCTGGAAGAGGAAACTTCTACCAATGCAGATCCGCAATTATTCTGCAACTTACAGTCTTCAAAAGTTGCTTAGTCCTTAGCAATCTGCTTTCTAGTCTCATCACCCTACTGAAGATTTTCTTTCAAAGGTCACCTCCTCATCAGCAAATACAATAACTATTTCTCAGTCTTCATCTTCCTTGACACTGAGGTTCAGTTTCTAGTCACATACCCAAGGAGGTCAATGACAAAATGAAATGCCCTATATAGATAAAAATATTTATAGCAGCACCTTTTGTAGTAGCAAAGAATGGAAACAAAACCAAAGTTCATTGACTAGGTAATGGCTAAAAAAGTTATGGAAGGTGCACATAATGGAATATCACCGTGCTGTAAAAAGTGATGAATATGAGGAATCCAAAACTGAAGTAAGTAGAACCAAGAAGACAATATACACAATGACTATAACAATGTAATGGAAAGAACAACAAAACAATTAAAACCAAATAGTACAAAATAATAATGACCAAGCTTGGCCCCAAAGAAGAGATATGAAATGATGCTTCTGCCTACTTCTTTGCAGATGATGGGAGGTTATAGGTATGGAGCATAGCACAGGTCATTTTTTCCCCCAATATTTTGATTAGTTTTGCTGAATGTATTTTTCTTTTTCTTCTTTTTAAATTATCTTTTACTATATACATATATTCTTTTATTATAAGGCTCTAGAGGGGAAGAATGAACAGAATGAGAATTGTAGGTGATTGAAAAATAAAGGGTATCAATTAAAATATATTTTCAAAAGCATCACTACATTCTGAGCTCCTTGAGGACGGAAGCTGTTTTTGCCTTTCTTTCTTTGTATCACAAATGCTTAGCATAGTGCTTAGCACATGGTAAGTGTTTTATATAAATACTGATTGAATTGATAAGTAGAAAAGTCTCTGCATTGTGGAAGGATTTGATTAGAGTGTCTTCAGTAAAAATGACAATGGTTTCCTTTCTAGGCGCTGGTGTTTCTTTGGTCTAGTTGGAGTCTCTGTTCTTGTTCTACACTTTCTGATGCCCAGAGTTTATCTATTGACACTGCTCATGTGCATAGCCCAGTCAAGTCACCACAACTCCAGTAGATGCTGCCTGATCTTTGGAAATTTCAGGCACTGGCCTGACAGCTATTGTCTGCAGGAACTACCACTGAAGACCACTCTTTCAGGTAACTTTTTCAGCAATGAGAGTCAATTGGCTTCTTCCTCCCAGCAAACTTGCTCCTATCCAATTAATGCCTGCCCCTATGCCCAGGGACTCATGGGAAATGGAGTCCTTACTTTCTTCTAATTAGCACCTACAGTCAGGGTGCATGGTCTCACCACAAATAGAGTTCTTGTTATTGGCGATTTCTGCTACATTCTCCTCCATTCCAATTTGAAAAACAAAAACAAAAACAAAAACAAAAACAAAAACACCACCACATATACTATGTACATGTGTACAGTCTCTAGGTACGCTTTATACCACATTGTCAAATTCCACAAAACATAGTTACATGCAAAGTATGCACATCACATAGTATGGTGGTAAACAGATCAAATACTTCAGTAGATATATAAAAGCATATGTAGATATATACTAAACAATACCTCATATTAGTGTTCTATGCAAAGTGTACCTTTCCTTATAATACCATACTATTTGAAGTATACTTTATTCTATTGTCCAAGTACCATCCTGCCCCAAAGGCAGTGCATGGTCTTGTGCCAATAGATACTGCCTGGCTACATTAGTGGTGTTGCTACCTATCATTTAAACAGCATTAAATGTCAACCTTGCCACTGGCCAGAGTCTAGATACTTCTGCACCATTTAGCTCCTCACTCTCTGAGTGAACCAGTATCCTCAGGTCTACTGGCCTATAATGCCAAATTTGGGCCCTTGGATGACCAAGGCTGAATGTTGTCATCTCCAACTCTTATGGGGTCAGTTTTGAAGAAAGTCTCTGTTCTCTTGGGACTTACAGACATGAAGTATCAGTAGCACCGCTTCCCCTTCAGCTGAGCTGTATAGAGGTCCCTCTCTGCCAGAAAAATCTTGGCATCTCAATTACTAAAAGGCTACCAAAATACAGTTTTCTTTTCATTAGTTTTCTCTAATCTAATCCTCTCCATATAAGAGTATCTTTTCCTCTCTAAGATTAGACTTTATCATTCATTTTTTGTAACACAGTGTCTTGTGCATATTAGGTTCTCAATAAATATGTTAAATTTAATATTAAAATGTTAAAAAAATTTAGATTGCAGGGACTGGGGCAGGACTGTCATAATATTTATAAGAACTGTATAAGGGAAAATTCAATTTTTTGGAAATAGACAGAAAGGCTGAGGTGCCAAGAGAAAAAGTATCTACATTCCTGGATGAATTCCTGACCAAAATTTCTCTAGTCAATTCCTTTTTCTGAGGAATATGATTGTTGAGGAGTATGATTGGCTTCTGGTTAAAGTAAATGGACTAGACATGGAACTTCAACTTTTTCTACCACTGATTTCCTGGGTCTTAGAACTTCTATTCTACTGGGTTAAAATTCTTAAACTAAAAACAATCACTTCTGCCACTTACCTTTCTACAGAGATGGGTTTTAGTGAATCAGTTGATTGTCAAGTTTCTGAATTCTTGGATGAGAAGAAATATAAGCTCCAATGCCTTGACATGTCCAATGCTACCTTTAAGATCTGGATCCCTTAAAGTCCCCATAGAACAAAGCAAGGTTTCTGGTCTCAGAACAGAAAGTTTGGGAAATACTGTCTGTTGCTGATCCGAGAACTTACAATCAGTGACTCTTCGGGTAAACTTCCCCAGCCCAACTTAGTTAGGGTGGGGAGATAATAAGGTTCTTTGCTGGGAAGTCCAAAGGTTATCCTCTTTAGCAAGCACATTACCAATGAGTCATTTCCTTTGATTCTTAAACATTCTCCTAAAACATTCCTGTTTATCTTCTATGGACTTTCTTTAGTTTTCTAATATTTGCCTTCATTCTCCTTTCAGCCCAGTTCCTGATTTTCTGAATTTTAAAACCATGCTTTCCCTCTAGTCCCACCTCCAACTCCCTTTTATGTCTTGGCCTCTCAAATTAGAATGTAAATTCTGTGAGGGCAGGGACTGTTTGTATCCCCAGTGCTTAGCATGGGAGTGCTAGCATATAGTAAATGCTTAATAAATGCTTATTTCCTTCGTCCTTTCCTATTTTATTCTACAAGAATACATATACGTATACATATGTGTGTGTGCATATATGGCACACATACGTATGTGTGTGTGTGTGTGTGTGTGTGTGTGTGTGTGGTAGATGGGTGGCACAATGAATGGTGTGCCAGGCCTGGATTCAGGAAGACCTGAGTTCAAATGTGGCCTCAGACACTTACTAACTATGTGACCCTGGTCAAGTCACTTAACTCTTTTTGCCTTAGTTCCCTCATTTGTAAAATGAACTGGAAAAGGAAATGATTCCAGTGCCAAGAAAACCCCCAAAAGGGGTCATGAAGAGTTGGACACAATTGAAAATGACTAAATAGCAAATACATATGTGTATGTATGTATATGTATGTGTGTGTGTGTATGTGGATATATGTGTATGTATATGTATATGTGTATATGCATATGTATATGTATATGTATGTACGTAACCACACTAGTCTCTGGATACCCAAACTCTGCCTTTTGTATCAAAGAACAGTTAAGTAAAAAAAAAAAAATCATTACAGTTGCCACATCTGATAATATATGAATCATTCTATCCCTCTGATCCCTTGCCTTTCTCCCTAGGGGGAAAGTATGTTTCATTGCTTGATCTCCAGGACCAATATTGGTTTATTAGTTACTCGCATTTTGACTTCTCTTTAGTGGGCTCTTTTTATTTACACTTGCTGTAGTCATGCATATCATTTTGGTTCCTCTTTCTCACTCCATCAAGTCACACAAATCTAATCCAGTGGCTAGCTAGGCATGGCTCGGAGGTGGTCATAGGAGATGAAGACCTGAACTTGAACCAGTCTCTGGCTTTTCCTTGCCATTGTGGTTTGCAAAGGTTTCACTTCCAGGGGAAGTATGACATCTTAACAGAGGAAGTAGTCTCATAACTTCTCTCTTTGATTGATACCCCCACCTCAGCTTCGATTAAGTGTTACACTGGACAGAGTGTTTGGAATTGGGAAGACTTGAGTTCAAATTTGGACTCAGACATTTACTAGCTGTGTAATCCTTGGGCAAGTCATTTAACCACTGTTTGCCTCAGTTTCTTCAGCTTTAAAGTGGGGATAATAATAGCACCTACCTCACAGTGTTGTTGTGAGGATTAGATAAGATAATATTTGTAAAGCACTTAGCATGGGGATCGACATATAGTGGGCCTTATATAAATGTTTATTTCCTTCCTCCCTGAAGAAAGTTGCTAATTTCTCATCATGTTGTTTCTGGTTCTGGTCTAGGATTTCCAAAAAGAAGAGGATGAAACTTTGAAAGGTACTCAATGTTCCAACATGACTCAGGTATGGGGCCAGAAGTATATTTCCACATAGAAAAGCGAAGGTTAAGCAATAATTATGGAATGATTAGAGCAGAATCCAGTAACAGCATAGGATAATAGATTTACCCCTAAAAGGGACCTTAGTGGGCAGTAAATCCTGCCCTTTTGTTTTACAGATGAGGAGACTGAAGGGAAGGAGAACAACAAGCATTTATTAAGCACCTACTATGTCTCAAGTACTTCACTAAACACTTTACAAATATTATCTCATTTGATCCTCATAATTGTGAGGTAGGTGCTATCCTGATTTCCATTTTACAGTTGAGGAAACTGAGGTAGACAGAAGTTAAGTGACTTGCCTAGGGTCATACAGGTAATACGTGTCTAAGACTAGATTTTGACTCAGCTCTTCCTGACTTGAAGCCTAGTGCTCTATCCACTGCCACCACCAAGCTGCCCAGGCACTGGGAGAATAAGTGACTTACTCAGAGTCACTCAGCTGGTAAGAGTCTGAGGTGAATTTGAACCCATGCCTTCTTGTTCTCTACCTACTATATCATATTGTCTTGTTGCTACTTGTACAATCAGTAAGGAAGCTAATATGCAAGCCTCACTGGGACATAAACAATTCTACCAACCAGGCTTCTAATTAGCCAATTCACATTTCACCACTAATGAGCCCAGCCCAATTAAACACCAAGCGAGATCTTTTTTTTCTGGGGGACCACTCTTTCTAATGGCAAAATTTTCCCTGTTCCAGGCCCTATTCTGTTACTGTTGCTATGACAGCAACCACAACCACTCTGGTAGAAAGTGCTTGTCATCAATATTCACAAGTCTTCCAAGACCTTTCAGTGTTCACAGAGTTGATGCTAAATCAAATACAAAAGTAAGACAAGGGAGGCTTCTGGTATAAGACTGGCTGGCTGAGTCTACACTCTCTATGGGGATTGAGAGATGTGGTGGGCCCCAGCCCCACTATTATTGCAGAGTAGGGAAAGGCTTTGTTCCAGCTTCCCATTTGGAGTCACAGTTTGTCATCTTAAAGAGCTGCTTCCAAGCAACTTGACAGCCAAAAACTGACTTTCCTTCTACCCAGTGTGGCCTTTCTGAGTCATTAGTTTTCTTGGCTTAGCTCTCAAGTGGGGGTACTCAACCATGAGTCTTACATAGCCAGAAGATCTGCATATGCTTTAAGGAGTCAGGGAAGAGGATTTTGCCATGCTTCTCTGAATGCAGGAAAATAGATATAGAGCTGGAAGGAATCTTTAAGGCTATCTAGTCCAAAACCCTCATTTCACTGATGAGGAAACTGAGGCCCAGGGAGATTCAAGGACTTGCCCAAGATCACATTGATGCAGGATTTAAATCCAGGTCCTCTTAACTCCAAAGCCTATGGTCTTACCATTGTACCATCCTGCCTCCTAGTTTATCATTTATTTCTTATTACACAATAATAACCCATTACATTCATATGCCACAGCTTCTTTAGCCATTTCCCAGTTGATGGAATCTACTTTATTTCCAGTTCTTTTCTAGTGCAAAGAAGTGCTGCTATGAATGTTTTGGTATATGTTGGAACTTACTGTCTTTTAGAGCACCTTGGGAAAATGCTTGATTTTCACACTGTTTTCTTCTGTTTAATATTAATATGAGTATTGTCTTCTACATTTTTCTATTACATCCATTTCAATCAGAATCAACTAAATAATGTAAGATAATATTGAGAATAAAATCAATTTTATGGTGCATAATGCAAAATATATTTTAATTTTTCAATGCAACTTTAAGAGAAAATCATATTTAAAATATCCAGTTCTTGGAGCTGCATTCTTTTTCTAAACCACACCCAATAAATCTCTTTTACACACATAATTCTCATTTCATTCTGGGAAAACTTAGCTCATAGAAAACAGGCTTGGCAAGAGTAGACAAGAACTGGATCTCTCATTTGCTGGTCAGGCTTCACTTTTTTTTATTTTTAAGGTGGTTTTTTTTCCTCTGGTTCAAAAATCATTTTACCATTTAGGTAAAATTTTGATAGAAAAACTTCTCCTGAGATAGTAGAAAGGCCACTGGATTTGGAATTATATGGCCTGGGTTTGAATCCCGTCTTTATTATTGAATACCTTTACGTCCCCAGTAAGTCAATGTTAACCTCGGTGTCTTCGTCATTTCATCTCTAAAATTAAAGGATTAGGCCAGATGATCTCCCAAGTCCCTTCCAGCTCTAAGATATCATGGTTCCATTCCAGTAAAAGAGTATTATTTAATATGTCTTAAGGCTTACTGAACTATACTCACCAGAGTTTTTGTTTTTGTTTCTTTTTTTTTTAATTTAAATACAATGCGTCTAAATGAGACTTTGGCTTATTGTGGTTCCTCTTATTAGGAACTTTAAGGTTTGAAGGTGAAAAAATGGACAACAGTTCCCACATTAGCATGATTTTTTCTCACTCTTAATTCTTTTTTTTTTTTTTTTTTTGCTTTGAAACAGTAACATCTGTTGCCAGAATTGCTTCTTTAAATCTTCAATCTTGTAAGGGCAGACAAGTTGTGTTAAAGACACAGGCTTTACTTGGCATGAGATGGTGGAGGGAGAAGACACAAAGTGAGAAGACACTTATTTCTTTTTTTTTTTTTTTAGTGAGGCAATTGGGGTTAAATGACTTGCCCAGAGTCACACAGCTAGGAAGTATTATGTGCCTGAGGTCAGATTTGAACTCAGGTCCTCCCAACTCCAGCGCCGGTGCTGTATCCACTGCACCACCTAGCTACTCCAAGACATTTATTTCTTTACCCATATCCAGCTGTTTTTTTTTTTTTTAAACTACCCTTCTTCCTTATCTCTGTGTCCTTCCTACCATCTTTCCTGGGGGTAAAGAGATCAAACAATTTGAATGTATTTTCCATTGGAAATACTGTGGATGTACAACTCACCTGTCTAGTAGACCTCTGGGCATTCAGGTTTTCATTGGAAATGATAGTATGATGGAGTCTCACTCATGTGCAGACCCCATCATCTTGCTAAGATGGCAACTCCAGGTAGAGGATGCTAGGAAGCTGCTACTGGGAGAATCCTGATGATCTGTGAGGGAAGTGCCTTGGAGAGGCTGGAGTATGTATAGATCTTCTCTGACTAACTGCATCTAGACTACCACATGTTTGATAGGAGCTACCTTTTCCATTGGCAGCGAGCCTGAACTATTGGGGCCTGAGTCATCTCTTCTGTTTTCTCTTTGTGGCAAACTTGTCTGAGGGATTGAAGAGGTGAATCTTTCACTCATGAAGTCCAGTGACTTACCAGTTGTTGTAAGTCAATAAGTATTTATTAAGGGCCTACTACATGCCAGGCACTGTG